GAACGGGGGAGGCCAGTCCTACTATCAACCCCCTATCCCGTTGAGTGCCTAGAAGTTTCGACAACTGGAGACAGGACGAGTCGGGATGGGGTCGGATGAAGAGGGGAGAGAATCTGGCTGGGATCGGGGGTAGACTCAGGGTGGGATCGGGGTGGGATCGGGCTAGGATTGGGATGAGTTCGGAATTGGATAGGGATGAAATGAGGATAGGGGGAAATGGGGGCAGTTGAGGTCGGGAGAGGGTCGGGATGGGGTTGAGATGGGATCAGGCTGGGGTCGAGATAGGGTCGGGATGGGGTCAAGATGGGGTCGGAATGGGATCAAGAATGGATCAGGATGGGGTCGAGGTGAGGTTGAGATGGGATCGAGCTGGGATCGGGAAGGAATCGAGACGGGATCGAAATGGGATAAAAGAACGAGATGGGTTGAAGGGAGACGGGGTTGAGATGGGATCGAAGTGGGGAAAGGAGAGAATGGGGGTAATTGGAGTCGGGATAGGCTCGGTACGGGGTTGAGGTGGGGTCGGTATGGGGATGAGATAAGGTCGAGGGGGAGTCGAGCTGGGATCGGGATGGATTCGAAAGGAGATCGAAATGAGATAGCGAGATCGAGATGGGCTCGAAAAGTGGGGAAGCGTGGCGCTAACCATATAAAATCATTTTATATTTCTTCCATGGAAAAGAACTAGGAAAACCTTATCTTCTTCTGATCGCAATTTCCATTAAAGTTTTGCTCTTGTCTTTCATCATTTTGGGAGTTTGGTTCATGCTCAGTTACTCGGCGTCTTAAACTTATTTTTTGGTCGGCACTAGGTTGTGACAGCGTCTCTTAAGCCTAATAGAAGGAGATGGCTATCTTGGATCAAACACGGAGTTTGGAAAGTGAGCCATCTGTGGGACGAGGAGAAAAAGGACTGGGTTACAGAACAGGAACTCGCCTCCCAGCTCAAGGGATGTCATCATGTCACCCATCATCAAATACATCCCAGAAGGCTGGAAGGAACTGCTAAGCGAAGCCTTCACTTGGAAATCTGGTGAGTGGGGGTTGTTGGTGCAGGAATTAACTCCTTCAAGGGCTTATCAATTTTCCCACAAACAGCGAGGATCGGAGACTCTGGCTGTATACCTCCTCAGCACAAGGATGTTAACTCCTGAACATGGATGTGGAAAGAACAGTTCTAAACCCATTTGTGCTCAGAAAGGTAAGAGTGATGGGGTCATGGCCAAAAACAATCTTCAGAATAGATACGGCGATTCAGGACTTGGAATTTGATCCAGCAGAATGGGCTTGGACACCAGGAAGAAGTAGAAGTCACAAAACGAATGTTCAGATCCAGGAATACACAGTCAAACTGGGATACAAACTACTACTCAAGACAAATGATCCTGATCCTACAATTAAAAACAGATGGCAGAAGTTAATAGGTCAGGACGCCATTCAGATCTCACGAATACCATGGAAAAGTTTCAAATCAATCCGTCCGGTCAACATCAGAGGCCTCCAATGGGTCATCGCATACGTGGCGCTACCGGTCAACCAATGGTTGCACATCAGAAGAAGTAAGAACGACCCTAATAGTTCAGACTTATGTGTCGTATGTTCGGAAAATAAACCAGAAGATATGCTTCACTGCCTGATAAGCTGTAGAGAGGTGACGAAACCTAGAAGGTTAGGACTCTTCGGAGGAATCATGATAGAAGATAAGGAGTCCTCCTGGACGACACAATTGGATCAGTAGACACAAATAGAAGACAGGAGAACACACTGGACGAAACCTAGGTCAAATGGACAAAGATTCGGGGCTTCGACAGATTCAGGGCAAGTAGGGTTTAGGGTTTTGGAGACTTCAAGAGGCTCATATGCGTCCCAGACCACTCTAGCATAACGCACAGTCCCCACAGCATGTCAGCTGAGAGGAGCAGGACTGGGGTCAGTCAGATTAGCAACTCAACAACAAAGGCAGGGTTGAGGGGTGGTACATCCTTCCTCAGGGAAGTAATCAATACCGTCCACTTGGGCCTCCCAACCATAATGGGGAGGAGCGTGCGTGAGTTCCACATGTATTCCATATTGACTTGCCGGGGGAATAGGAACCGTACTGTCGCTCCCCAGAATGGTAGGAGCCAGAACCAAGAGGTTCTGTCTTTATTAAAACAAGACGTCTGCCCGCCGCGAGTGCGGCGGGGACCAAGAGCGGGGACCAAGAGTAGGGGGGGGAAAAAAAATTGCAATTGCGCACCAATGCCCTCTCTCTCTCTCTCTCTCTCTCTCTCTC